GGCTCATGACCCGGACTTGCGCAGGCGAACCTGGGTCGCCAGTGCATGAGAAAGGTTAGGCGTACGGGGCAGTGTTTAATACATAGGGTTTTTAAACTATACAGGACTTTAATCTATGATTAATTTATGAATGCGTTTATGCATGAACTCATCGTTGTTTTTAATATTAAATCCCAGCATTTTTAATACATGGTCCGCATGCGGAGCATGTCATAACAAAAAACGGCACTGTACTTGGCAGAAGCCACAGTCGGGTTACTATTCGGTCGTCAGGGATTGGCAGACGTTGTCAAAACGTTGCAGGCTGGCTGCAATCGCTGTAGCTGCAAGCCTGGAGCTCGTCCGAGTACCGGGGCCAGAAGCACACGCCCCTCATCCTCCTCGATCCTCGATCCTCCTCCTCCTCCTCCTTTGCGGTCCCTCTCCTCCTCCATCCCTCTTCCTTATAGATGGCTCGTCCTCGTCTGACCACCAGACGGGTCGGTAGGGCGGGCCAGGCGTTTCGCCTTGGACTTCTGCGTTAGTGATCCCAAAGCTCGACATTTCCAGCATTTGCAACCATGGGGGGCGGTTCCTCTTCAACATGCGTCCCTCACCTTAGCGCCGCGCGCATGCGTCAAACTTTTCAACCGTTACAGGGATGGGCGGGATGGTGGTTTCAACATGTGTATCTTGCCTCGGCGCCGCGCACATTCGTTTCAAGAGCTTACAGCAGTTACGCGGGTGTGGCGCGATTCCACTTCAACATGTGGCTATTGTCTTCGCAATGCGCGCATTTGTCCTAAAATCTGCCAGCAGTTTCGCGGCAAGTGGGTGGCTCCCTTTTGCAATGTGGCCCATTTGTTGTAAACTCGCACTTCTATGTTCATCCCTATGTTCATCCCTATGTTCAGACACCTTCTGCTGTGTAACGTCTACACGGATGGAGGGCTTTCTCCTGGAACTTCGCTCGGCTTTATGACCAAGCGTTTACACTTTGTGACACACTGCGCGGGTTTGAGGCGGCTCTTTTCCAAAGCGGGGCGCTGGCTGAACAATTCCCAGACTTTATGAATATGCCTCGTCGCCCGCCTTCGATCTGGAAGCGTGGAGGGCAGCTCCTCTTCAACATGGTGCCCTCGCGTAAATTGCAAGACCACGGGGCGCTCGTCTCCACAGGGGGCGCTGCTCGCAGTGCAGACTTCGTCTACGCGGTTATGGGGACGGGGCTTGAGGTGGGAGATCGTGTTGCAGAATTCGGGCTGCAGATTGGGCTTGCTCTGGTCCTCCTCTCCCCCTGAGGTCCGACGTCGCGAAGCATGCAGCATCGTGCGTATCGCACTAAGAGCCCTGTACCCTATCTGTCTGCCGCGTTTCTCGAGGACGATCGGTCCGCGAAAGCCCCAGTGCCCCGAAGCAGGCAAAACCGCGCGGTGTAAACAATGCGACGGCTTGGTCTCCTCCTCCTCGTCGTCCTCCTCCTCCTCCCTGTCGCTTGTCCGTGCCATGAACTTTGCCCTCGACATCTGGTCGGGTACGGCTCTGGTTGTTGCTCCCTCGGTCACGCCGCGGCCTGCAGAAGTGCCACTTTGCGGCAAACCGTCCGTGGATCTGAGGTCGAGGGTGGCACTCGACATGTCGGGGGCTTGGCTTCTGACTTCATCTGCAGCCTCTGCCAAGCTTTGTTCCTGGTGGACCTCCCCGCTTCTTGACCCAGGGGTTCCAAAATAGCCAGGACAGCAAGGGGCACCTTGGGCCAAGACCACTTCAAGCAACCTCCGAAACATTGAAAAGAAACACTCGGTTGCGATCGCATGTGCCCAAGGATCAGAGGCCCCGTCGCCTTCCCCACTGTTTCCCATCTGCAGACGCCAACGGCTGTGATCGGCTCCATTCCCGGGGGCACATGATCCCAGACATGCAGTCGGCTTGATCAAACGCAATGCGTACTTTTGCTCGCCGTTTTCGGCCTCCAAGGCCCGCGCAGAGCCCTGGGACCGATAAAAGAAATGCTCGGAATGGAACACCTGAGGGCAAGTGTTGAGAATTCTGGGGACCCGCCATAAAACAAAAGCCATCGACAAATCGGACTTCTGAGGGGCTCAGCCAAAATGTCATTCAGCGCCCACGAGTCTGGCAATCGCGCGCCTTTTCGAGACATGGAGGGATATATATATATATATGTATACATATGTACGTGTGTATATATATATGAAGTGAAAAAGAAAGAAAGAGAGAGAGAGAGAGAGAGAGGGAGAGAGAAAATAAGAGAGAACATACTACTCTCTTAGAAAACAAACCTTCTTCTCTGCTCCCTCCTCCTCCTCCGCGTCCTCCGCGTCCGCCTCGTCCTCAACTCCCTTCTAGGTCCTGGCTGCCGGTGAAGAAGGGGACCCGGAACATCTGGCGCGGCTCCACCTTCGGAGGGCGCCAACCATCCACCACCGTGCCGTCGGCACTGGGTGGAGTGCTCACAGGTCCCTAAGGGCCCTCTGCGTTGAGTATGGAAGAACTCTTTGAGTGGCTCAGGTCCCCGTGTTCCAGGCTGTGCTCTCGGGAATCCCCGCGTGCCTTTTCCAGAAGCCTCGCGCGCGTGGCCGCGGGCTTCGACATCCAGCATGCTCTAAGACGGCCCCGAGGGACCGTCCTGCGGTGACCTTGGCGGCCTCTTCGGCCGTCTTGGAGGCCTTGCGGGCCAGCTAAAAAGGCCAAGATCACTGAGCAACCTTGAATTAGTGGGTGACTTTCGTATACTCCGCTTTCTTGTCTCCAGAGCGCCTAAGCCGGCCCCTGAGATCGCCCCCCGCATGGCCTTCAAGGCCCCAGGGGATCCAAGAGGCCTCCAGGAGGCCTCTCAGATGAGTCCAGGAGGCCTCTCAGAGCAACGACCCAAAGCGCTGTGGCGGGATGGGCCGAAGACCACTAGATCCGCCGCCCCCTGCTTGCAGGGGTGCACGGCGTGCTGGATGAGCTGTCAGGTTTTGGTTTTGGTTCTTTTTCTAAAAGAACTCCCCAGTGGGCTTCGGCCCGTCCCGCCGGCCACCCCGAAAGGATGCCCAGGAGCTCAATTCCCCAATTTCCTGCCCCAGACGGTTCCAAGATGGCCTCCAAGATGCCTCTAAGACGGCCAGGATGGTCTCTAAGACGGCTAAGATGGCCTTATGATGCCTCCAAGACGGTCCAAGACGGCCTCCAAAACGGCCCAAGAGAGTCCAAGACGGCCCAAGACGGCCCAAGAGGCCCCCCAGAGGCCTCCCAGACGGCCCAAGAGGCCTCCAAGAGGTCCTCCAGGAGAGTCCGAAGAGGCCAAAATCATTGATTTTTCCTTGGTTTTTGAAGGATTTTGGCATTTGCGCCTTTTCGGCTCTCCGACGGCTCAAGACGGCCCAAGAAGCCCCCAAGATCGCCCAAGAGGCCCCCAAGAGAGCCCCATGATGGCCCAAGTGGCCTCCAAGATGGCCCCTAGAGGGCCCCAAGAGGGCCCAAGAGGCCTCCAACACGCCCAAGATGGCCTCCCAGACGCCCAAGATGGCCTCCAAGACGGCCCTGGAGCATTCCAAGCGGGCCCCAAGTCGGCCCATAGAGGCCCCCCAAACGGCTTCCGACGGCTTCAGACGTGCCAGGAACCCACCAAGATGGCCGAAGTTGGCTCGAAGCTGGCCCGAGACGGCCCAAAAAGCCCCAAAGATCGCCCAAAGCTTGCCCAAGAGGCCTCCAAGACGGCCAAGATGACCTTCAAGATGCCCACGTGTTCCCCGAAGGCTTTCCAAACCGATTCGGGGAACACGTGGTCCGATAGCTTGGCAGGTCTGGCCTCAACGTTCGGCCACATAGGCGCTTCCAAAAAGGCAGGGGGCGGCGGTGATTCGCCGTAGGCGTCTTCGATACATTCGTGCACCGACGCTGGCCCAGCCCATCCTGGGCCCAGGCTTGGCCTGGCGGGGATCGGGGTTGTGTTAGGGAAGCGAAAAATGGCAGAAACAGAAAAACTCGGGGGTCCGCGCGGACCTCTGAGTTTTTACGTTCATACCATTGTTCGTTCCCCGATGTGTGTCCTCCGAACCTTCTCGAACTCCGAGGCGTGGGTGCGGCAGGCCTCCAGCTCCCTCCAGGTCGGGAGCGGCAGCCGCACCAGCTGAGTCAGGATGCGGGTCTGGTAGCTCTGCGCCGCCACGGACGCGTGCATGGCCAGCCACACGGTCAGGAGCAGGAACGTGAAGGAGCTCCCGATGGCCACCTAGGGCAGGTGCGTGTCGGGCCGACTTCGGCGCTGGTTTCTGGCACTGCGGGGATCGCCTACCCTTGAAGGATCGGCCGTTTCTGAAATGTCAGACCGTTCAACATCGACTGATCCTGGGTCGCTGGCGGCGTTCAGAATTGGACGCCGGCGGCAAGGTCGCTGGCGGTCGACGCCGCGACGCGAACCTACCGTGGTGCCTTCTGTTGTCTCTGTTGTCGGAGGACACACGGGCACGCGACACGGCTCGCATCGTGCGCCGTGCGGGGGCCGCAGGGTGTGAGGCATCCCTGAGGACGCGGATCCGTTCAATCAAGATGCAGCAGTACAGGCGCCACGGGAAGAGGAGGGAGAGGGAGAGGGAGAGGACGGAGAGGACGACGACGACGACGGCGCCCTACTTTTACCAGGGGAGAGGCGGAAGCCCACGGGACCCAGACCTCCGACTCAAACCTCGGCTGCGAGTTCTTCGGGTCCCCCAAAGTCTGGGGAGGAGGAGGAGGATGAGGAGGTGAAAGAGCTTCTGGCAGCCGCCTGGTTGCCCAACATCAGCCAGTCGGGCGTCCCCTCCGGCAGCCTTCCCTCGCACCACAGGTTCAAGTTGAAGCCTCGCCAGCAGCAGGAGAGAGGCGGCGGGGTAGAAGGGGAGGAGCAGGAGGAGGAGGAGGAGGAGGCGGAGAAGGAGTAGGAGGAGGCGGGTGAGGAGGTGGAGGAGGTGGAGGAGGAGGAGGAGGAGGGAGGAGGAGGAGGAGGAGGAGGAGGAGGAGGAGGCGGAGGAGGAGGAGGAGGAGGAGGACCCTTGAACTCCACTGTCCGAGCCGTCCGCGCTGCAGGTGCCGCGGCTGCGCGGCACTTGCCACGCGGAGAGCGCGGAGCGTGGAGGGCGAGGGGACAGGGAGGCGCGAGGAGAACCGAGCAGGAGCACGTTGACCAGCAAGTAGATCGACATCTTCCTCTCGGTCAGCGAGATGAAGTCACGGACGTCTTCCCGCCACAACTCTGCCTGCTTGACGCGCATTTTGCGCTCGAAGAACTCCTTCTTCATCCGCTGCTCGCGGTCCTCCGTGAAGTTCTCCCTGTTGTAATCGAACGCGGCCTTGCCAGCCAAGGCTGCCCCCGCAACAGTCAACATGGCTGCAGGCCGGTTTCAAAATCGGGCCGCCAATGAATAATATGGAAACACGGAGCTGCAACTTTTATTGCAGCACGTGCGCGTCTGCGATAGCAGACTGAGGAGCCTCTCCCTTTGGAGATGCCCAACGCTACCGGACAAATGTAAATCGACCTTGAGCCGCGAACGGCTCCTGGCGCTGCTGCTTCGGGGGAGCGATGAAGACGAGGTCACACGCCTGAGTGGCCCACGAGCAAGTGAACGGGCCCGCGTGCCTCAAAGCGCCCTTTCTGCAATGGGAGATCTGCCTCTATGCCTCAGATGCAGGCGTCCCCCAAACATGACGACGGCAATGTGCTCGTCGTGTTCGGCCCAATTACGGGGGGGCGTGCCCTGGCCCCAAGACCGCCAACGAAACCGATCCAAGACGAGAACAGAAGCGGCCCACGAGAAGAGGCTGAGGTTCGTGTCCCGACGACTTGCGCTCTGGTTTCGAACGCTGAACGACCGCGGCTTTCCGATCGGGCGGACCGTTCGATAGTGGCCGACTCCAGGCTACAGGCGGCGCTCAGCCTGGAGCGCGCCGCGCCTGGGCTGCCGCCGCGTCGATGCGGCGCGGCCCCGCCGCTGCTACCGGGGGCGGCACCCGGTGCGCACCCTGCAGCTCACATCGAGCCGATCGGCACCCCGGCGCTCCCGCCCGGCACAGGGCCCGCTGTCGCACGGCGGGGCCTTCCTGCCCGCGGCGGCGCCGCCGCGCCCGGAGCGCGGGGCGCAGGACGAGGCAGTGGGCCCCGCGAGGGGGCACCGCGTGCCCGTGGTGGCGGGGCGCGCGAGGGTGACGGCCTGGTGGCCGGGCCCAAGGAGCGCGGCGCGGGGAACTCGGCGCCGTCTCGAGCGCTCCCTGGCGCCGGGGCTTCCCAGAGACCGCCTGGGCAGGGGGCTTCGGCCACGAACGGCCGCGCCCACGCTGCCGCCGCGCCAGGGCCGCAGGAAGCCTCTGGACGGCCAGTTCGCGCCGTGACGACGACGTTGGCGATGGCTTCTGGCACCGCGTCGTCCGTTCAACCTGGAAGGATCGTGGCTCTCCGAGAGCGCAGATCGATCGATATCGCCCGATTCCAGGCCACTGGCGGCGTTCAACCTTGAACGCCCGCGCTGGCGTCGTCGCTGGGCCACCGCGGCATGAGCCCACCATGTTCACAACGAGGGGTGGACAAAGGGCTCCCGCCTTCCCCCCCGAGCGCCAAAGCGGGGCACGCTCGTCGTGGATCTGCTGACCCGGGTCAGTCCAGACCCGGGCCAGTCAAGCTGTGCAAGATCCGGCACCATCCTGCAGGATCCTCGTTGACCCGGGTCGGTGGTCAGTGCAACCCTGGCCCTGCAGGATCCTGCAAGATCCAGCGCTCTGGCTTATCCCCGTTTGCATTGCTCCCCGTCTCAAGGCCCCCGAGGTCGGCACACCTGCGCATCGCCGGCGTGTCGCTCTCCCTCGTGTTCGTCCGCCTCGCCCCTGCCCTGTTCCTCTGCCTCCTCTTTCTATTCCCTCCTCTTCTTCCCCTGCCGCTCGTCAACGCGCCTCCTCCTCCTACTCCTCCCCCCCTTCTTCCTTTTCCTTCTCTGGCTCCTCCTCCTCCTCCTCCTCCTCCTCCTCCTCCTCCTCCTCTTGTCTTCCCCCCTCATCCTTGTCCTTCCCTTTTCCCTCTCCCTCGTTTTCCTCCTCTCGGCGCTCGATTTTTAGTTCTCTCCTCGTCCTCCTTCTCCACTCCTCCCCTCGTTCCTCCTCGTCGCCGTCGTTATCCTCCTCCTCATCCTATGTTTCTCCTTTGCTCCTCCTCTTCCTCCGTTGGCGCTCCTCCTCCTCCTTCTCCTCCTCCTCCTTCTTCCCCTTTCCCTCCTGCCCTTCCTCCTAGTGCTCCTCCTCATCCTCCTTCTCCTCCTCCTCTTCCTCCTCCTCGCTCTCCCATCCCCGAGTCCTGCAAGCCCCCAGATGTCAGAAAGAGCACGACCGCGACCGCGACGGAGGACACCGCCGCCGCGACCTGTGTTCGCGGGGAATGGGGGCGCGGAAGCAGGTGGGGGAGGAGGATGTGAAGAGGCCGAGGAGGGGGAGGAAGAGTAGGAGGTGAAGGCGGAGTTGGCACAAGAGGGGGAAAGAAGAAATGTGCGAATGAGGACGATGGTTGGGGGGAGGGAATGGAGGCGAAGGAGGTGAAGGCGGAGGCAGAAGAGGAGGAGGAGGAAGAGGAGGAGGAGGAGGAGGAGGATGAGGAGGAGGAGGACGTGAGAACAACATTTGCACAGAGGGGGGAGGTGAAGCACGAGGAGGAGGAGGACGACCAGTGTAAACCCATGAGTCATCAACGATGTTGGAATAGCCCTCCCTCCAAGCTCCCTCTTCATGGAATAAGCCCTCCCTCCAAGCTCCCTTTTCACCGGGCCCTGCATTTTTCTATGAGTATGTGTATATATATATATATAACAAATTGCCCCAGTGCGACCCTACCTAGAAGTTGGAGCCCCTAGGAAAGCAGCATTAGTTGCTATGCTATGCTATGCTATGCCATGCTATGCTGCGCTATGCTGTGCTATGCTATGCTATGCTGCGCTATGCTATGCTATGCTATGCTATGTTGAGCTATGTCATATCATGCTGCGCTGTGCTATGCTGCGCTATGCCATGCTATGCTATGCCTAGCTGTGCTATGCTATGCTATGCTATGCCATGCTATGCTATGCTGCGCTATACTATGCTATGCTATGCTTGACTATGTTATGCTATGCTATGCTATGCTAATGCAGCGCTGCGCTAGGTTAAGCTAAGCTAATATAAGCTAAACTAACCCTCTAGGCAGAGCCTGCGTAGGTAATTGCACCCATGCTAATGCTTTGCTTTGCTGTCGCTGCTGTTGCTTTGCCTTTGCTTTGCTGCTATGCAATGCTATTCTCTGCTATGCTATGCTATGCTATGCTGCGCTGTGCTATGCTCTGCTGTGCTGTGCTGCGCTATGCTATGCTATGCTATGCTGCGCTATGCTATGCTATGCTGGGCTATGCTATGATATGCTGTGCTGCGCTATGCTATGCTACGCTATGTTATGCTATGCTGTGCCCTGCTATGCTAAAACTCAACGAAACTAAGATGAAGGTAAGTGAAGCGGAAGCTAAGATAAGCCTGAGCTAATATGAAGCTAAGCTAAGCTAAGATGAAATAAGCTAAGCCAAGATGAGATAAGCGACGCTAAGCTAAGGGGACGTAGCTGGGGGAACCGCGGGGCGGATACTGGGGGAACCGCCCGGGGCGCTTTCCACTGCCCGGCCCCTTTAAGCCCAGAGAGTAAGAAACCTTCTAGGCAGAGCCTAGATAGGGAATTAAGGGAACTGCCTCGTTCGAAAACAACCGTTTGAAGACCCTGAAGCATGCCCAAACATGGTTCTCGGGATATCCACGCCACGGATTAACCTGCCTGTTGCGTCATGACGATCCTGAATCGTGCCAAAACGCCATTCCTGGGACTTCAACACAACGAATCAACGTAACTGTTGCACCAGCATAACCTTGAATCCTTACAAAACATCATCGTTGGTACGTTGATGATGGGAATCCGTGAGACTCTTGCAAATGTTATAAGCGAATGTGCGCGGCGCTAAGGCGAGAACCACCTTTTGAATGCACCGGCAACGGCCTCCGGCAATCCATCCGACCGATCAACCGATAAACCGATAAAAGCTAATCGGTTGATCGGTTTACAAGCCGATCAACCGAAAAACCGATATAATCTAATCGGTTTATCGGTGGATCGGTCTCTCAACCAACGAACCGAAAAAAACGATAACCGTTATCCGCGAACGTAGAGATGGGGCAGGGCACATCCGAGGTCAGACTTGTGAGGATATCTTAAGCAAAAGTGGTATGTCCACCTCAGCCGAGGGCGTTTCGGAATATAGAATTACGAGGATGTCTCCGGCGAAAGTGGCTGGACTACTATGGGGCAGGGCATCTCGGAATCCAGAAGTGTGAGGATGGCTCAGGCGATGGTGGCCAAATCATCTCGACTCAAAACATATCGGATCCCAGAATGCCACGGATGTTTCAAGCGGAATGCGCCGGAGTGGTGAAGATGCCAGGCGAGACCGTTTAGATAATCACATGTCGTGGCGCGTTGGAACCCAGACTTCCGAGGATGTCTCACGCGAAACGGGCCTCCTCCTCATCCTCCTCCTCCTCCTCCTTCTCCTCCTCTCCTCTGCCGGCCGAGGCGGGCCGAGCCGCCGGCGGGCCAGCCGAAACGGGGACGAGGACGAGGACGAGGACGAGGACGGCGACGACGACGACGGCGACGGCGTCAGGCCTCGTATCTCGAAATGTCAGCTCGTATCTCCCCGTCGCCGTCACCGTCGCCGTAGTGTCGCCAGCGCCAGTAATGTGGCGATGATGATGATGACGATGACGACGGCGGCGATAATGATGTGCATGATGATGACGAGGGAGATGGTGATGATGATGGTGATGGTGATGATGATGACGATGATGGTGATGATGCTGATGATGATGATCATCATCATCATCAACAACAACATCATTACCATCATCAACATCCGCATGCTCGTGTAGCTTTACAAATATCCATAGTAGCAGGGGGTGATAGTAATAGTTGTGGTAGTAAAGTCATCAACAGTAGCGCCATAGTAGTCGTAGAAGAAGTAGTAGTAGTAGTAGCAGCAGTAGTAGTAGTAGTAGTAGTAGTAGTAGTAGTAGTGGCAGAAGCAGTAGCAGTAGCACTAGCAGTAGGAGCAGTAGTAGTTCTAATAGCTGTGCTCGTATGAACAACAACAGCAGCAACGATAATAACACATGTGCATCGCAGCGGTAGCCACAGTAATATTAGCTGGTGCCGTAGTCGTAGTTTTACCATGTGTACTATTAGTAATAACAATAGCCACAATGATCATCTTTAAGAATGCGCATAGATGCGATAGCCTAAATAATAAATGTTGTTGAAGTAATGCTCGCGATAGAAGTTGTAGTTGCATTAGTACCAGTAGCAGTAGCCGGTGACAGCAGCGGGAACGGCAGTAACACATAGGAGTAGTAGTAGTAGTAGTAGTAGTAGTAGTAGTAGTAGGAGTAGTAGTAGTAGCTGTTACGGTTGTGGCTGTTCTTCACGCCTTCGCGAGGCCATCGCGAGGCCACCTTGGAGGAGGCCAGCTCTCTAGCCCAGGCCGCGACGCGCGAACCACGATTATCTTCGCGCCCCTGGGGTGACCGAGTCTCAGACAGCCACCGAACGTCTCCTCCTCCAGCTCCTCGTTGTCCTCTTCCCTCCGCCTCCTCCCCCATCCTCCTGCTCGTCTTCCTCCTCCACTCCTCCTCCTCCTCAGCAACATCTTCATCATCATTTTCATCATCATCACCATCAGATGCTCGTTGCAGCTTTACAAATATCCATCGTAGCAGGGAATGTTAGTAACAATTGTGGTCGTAATGTCAACAACAGTAGCGCCGTAGTAGTAGTAGTAGTAGTAGTAGTAGTAGTAGTAGTAGTGGTGGTACTAGTAGTGGTGGTAGTAGTAGTAGTAGTAGTAGTAGTCGTAGTAGTAGTAGTAGTAGTAGTAGTAGTAGTAGTACTAGTAGTAGTGCTAGTCGTAGTAGTAGTAGTAGTAGTAGTAGTAGTAGTAGTAGTAGTAGTAGTAGTAGTAGTCGTAGTAGTAGTAGTAGTAGTAGTAGTAGTAGTAGTAGTAGTACTAGTAGTAGTGCTAGTCGTAGTAGTAGTAGTAGTAGTAGTAGTAGTAGTAGTAGTAGTCGTAGTAGTAGTAGTAGTAGTAGTAGTAGTAGTAGTAGTAGTAGTAATAGTGATAGTAGTAGTAGTAGTAGTAGTAGTGGTAGTAGTAGTAGTAGTAGTAGTAGTAGTAGTAATGGTGGTGGTGTTGGTAGTAGTGGTAGTAGTAGTAGAACTAGTAGTAGAACTAGTAGTAGTAGTAGTAGTAGTAGTAATAATATTAATAGCAGCAGCAGTAGTAGCAGTAGCAGTAGGAGCAGTAGTAGTGCTGATAGCTGTGCTCGAATGAATAACAATAGCAACAACGAAAATAACACATGTGCATCGCAGCGGTAGCCACATGCCGTAGTAGTAGTATTAGTAGTAGTATTATTATTATTAGTAGTAGTAGTAATTTTAGTATTTGTATTAGTAGTACAGCAATAGCCACAACGATCATTTAGAACATGCGCATAGTTGCGGTAGCCTCAATAATAAGTGCGGTTGAAGTAGTGATCGCAATAGTAGTTGTAGTTGCATTAGTGCTACTAGCAGTAGTGGTAACGATAGTAATCCATGGGAGTAAAGAGTAGTAACATCAACAGTAATATTTGTGGATGTAGTAATAATGATAGTAGCAGTTTTTGTTGTATCAGCAACCGTAGAAACAGCAGTAACGATAGTAACACATGGGAGTAGCATGGACAAAATTATTATTAATTGTACTTGTAGTAGCACCGGTGACATCAACGGAAACGGCATTAACAAAACGTAGTAGTAGTAGTCGTAGTAGTAGTAGTCGTAGTAGTAGTAGTAGTAGTAGTAGTAGTAGTAGCTGTTATGGTTGTGGATGTTGTAGTAGTACTTATTGTAAGGATTCCTTTGGATCTCCGAGAGCTACTCAGGACCAAGGAGTCATCAGAAATATTCAAAAGGATTGCCACTCGAAGTGGTCCAAAGGATTCTCCAGGAGACCTCAGAAAGATTTCGACGGATTACCACTCGGACAACTACGACAACTCCAAGCCGATAAACCGATAAACCGATCAACCGATAAACCGATAAACTGGTAAACTGGCAAGCCGATACACCGGTAAACGGAGAAACATACCGATAGACCGATAAACCGATAAACTGATGAAGCCATACTGCGCTGAGATTCGGACACGCTTGCGATGAGTCGGTTTAGTGGTTTATTACGTGGTTATCGACCGATGAACCGATATAATCATATCGGTTTATCGGTCGATCTGCCGATATACCGATCAACCGAAATCATTTAT